TCCTTGGCCATGCCCTCCCGGTAGGTAGCATCAACATAGCCATAAATATAGGAACTCCCAGAGCCTCCAATGGCAAAGGACTGTCTTACCATCATACCCCCCATGGGCACTGAGTACACCTGCCAGGTGGAGGGAGGACAAAGAGCCATCAGTTGTACACTCTCCGCAACACATGTACATTCACCTCTACATTGTGGAACTGATATGGGAAAAGTTAACAGTGATTTGGAGGCTGGACAAAGAAAACGGCTGGGGTGGGGAGAGAATCAAAAGCATGGCTCCACTGCTCTGGCAGCGGGGAACATCTGACCTGCCCTCCTTCTTGGGGGTCCCAACCCGCAATGATGATTCCTGCCATCAGGTCTTCCCGGTATCGGTAACACATCTCCTTGAAGAGGCTGGCTGCAGTGTGTACAAGCGGGGGCTCATTCAGCTCAATACTAGAGGATGAGGGGAGTTATAGTGAAGGCAGAGTCAGGACCTGGGAGTCAGACCATTTGGCTCCTCAGGTCCGAACTCCCTTCAAATACTCATTTCTCCCCAGCCCACAAGCACCTGTGGAAACCAAGCTGATAGGTAACAGCATCAGCTACAGCCTGGGTATCAGCTGCAGAGCCCGAGCGGCAGCAGAAAATACGATCATGAATAGGGGTCAGCTTGTCAGTCACTCGATTGGCGATGTAGGACCTGCAGAACAGTAAGAATGGCAGAATAGTGAGGGAAAGGATCCTACTTGTCTCCCACCTCCACCCATTTCTATCCTCTCTCTCAGGGCTCAGGAATATGAATTCCTCTATTTGCTATTAGTTCTCATCCAAACTGAAGTAGGCTGGAGAACTGAGTTTCGCAAAAATTTCACCGAAGGGTGAGAGTAATAGAGAAGTCGTAGAGTCTGGCACAAATCTATCTCCAGGGAGGGAAGAAACCTCCCTGCCAGAGTTGTCTGTAAAGAGTAGGGATGGGCTTGGCAGGCAAGGAAGGAAGAGAAAGACGGGAAGACCTTTCACATGTGTGTCATGAGCTCACCCGGTGGTTGTTCTGGAATCGGCCCCCAGAACCACGCCCCCATCAAATTGCACGGCCATGATAGTGGTCTGGGAAAAAGGAGAAAGGGGTGAGTCCCAGCCTCTGCACATTCTCCAACATACACAAATCTCAATGATCCTTCTATCCAGTCCCTAGAGTACTAAAGTCATACACCACTGACCTATTGTCAAATCTCAGAAGGGCCTCAAAAACCCGCGAAATACCAGAATTCCAATCCTCAGACCCCTGAGTCCATCCCAGTGGTAAGCCTGCTACCCCATAATATCCCAAAATTCTACACCCAATCATGAAATTACCACGCGGCAGACTCAGGGTACCTCTCCCCTGCCTCCAGCACGGCACAGACCACCTTCCGTCCGCCCCCGCCCCAGTTCTCCCAACGCACTCAGGCCTATCCTTCCATTGCATTAAAACTTGTGCACATTTCCTGAACCCGGAGTCCTTCCTCACCCCTGTGGAGACTTCTCGGTTTCCCCAGTCGGGGGTAAAAGCCTCGGGACCCCAAGCTGGGGCTGGGCCCACCCCTCCTGCAGCTACTAAGGCGGCCGCCATCTTCCTCCTCCGGTACTGCCACAAAGCAACTGTCGTAAAGCGCTCTGTCACTCCCTTCAGTAGTGCTCTGGGGCCTTCAGGCGGCGAAGCTAGGCCAAGGTTGTAAAGAAGTTTCTTTTGCGACAGTGAGCGCTTAATGGCAGCATGGCCGGCAAATTAGCAGACAACAATACCCTCAAATAGTCTGCAAGGATTGTTTCCTGTTGGACTGTGCAGTGCTACTATATTTGATCCGAGTTGCAATTCAAAAAGTCCTCAAAACAGGCTTGAGCCTCTGACTTACGGTGTGCACACTGTTTTCATTTCTTTGAGGTGTATACGTAGTGTATATACAGTCCTAGGAGTGGAATTGGTGGGTCATATAGTAACTTTAACATTTGAGGGACCAGCAACTGTTTTCCACAGCAGCTGTCCCATTTTACATCCCCACCAGCCACACATGAGGATTCCAACTTCTCCTTATCCTCACTAATTGTTGTATATTTTTCTTTATTAAAGATGTTATTGATTTATTTTTAGAGATGGGGGAGAAAGACAGAAATATCTTTCGGTTGCCACTCACATGCTCCCAACTGGGAACCTGGCCCACAACCCAGGCATGTGCCCTGACCAGGAATCCAACTGGCAACATTTCTGTTTGCTGGAGGACGCCCAACTGAGGCACGCCAGTCAGCATTATTGTGTATTTTTACTTTAGCCATTCTGGAGGGTATGAATTGGTATGCTGTCGATGTGTTTATTTCTCTATTCCATTTCCCTAGTGATCAGTGTTGTTGATCCTATTTTCATATGCTAATTGTCCTTTTGTATATCTTCTATATCTTCCCTGGAGAAATGTTTATGGAAGTCCTTTGTTCATTTTAAAATTCTGGTATCTCACACTGGCAGGTGTGGCTCAGTGAACAGAGCGCCGGCCTTCAAATCAAAAGGTTGCTCGTTCTATTCAAAGTCAGGGCATATGCCTGGGTTGCAGGCCCAGCCCCCTGTTGGGGGCATGCCCGGAGGCAATAGATGTATCTTTCACACACTGATGTTTCTCTCCCTTCTTTTCCCTCTCTCTCAAAAGTAAATAAATAAAATTGGGTTATCTTCTGTTGAGTTTGCAAGAGTTCTTTTTATATTAAACTTTATATTTATTGACTTTTTTTAGAGAGAGAAGGAAGAAAAATCGATTTATTATTTTACTTGTTTTTGCATTAATTAGTTGATTCTTTAAAAAATATTTTAATTTATTTTTAGAGGGAGGGGAAAGAAGGGAGAAAGAGAGGGAAAGAAACGTTGATGTGTGAGAGAAACGTCTACTGGTTGCCTCTTGCTCCCTCTCAACTGGGGACCTGGCCCTGCAACCTAGGCACATTCCCTGACTGGGAATCGAACCAACAACCTTCTGGTCTGCAGGCCAGTGCTCAATTTACTGAGCCACACCAGCCAAGGCTAATTTTTTAAAATAGATTTTACTTATTGATTTTTAGAGAGAAGAGAAGGGAGGGAGAAAGAGAAACATTGATGTGTGAGAGAAACATTGATTCGTTGCCTCTCACACACCCCCAGTCAGGAACCTGGCCTGCAATCCAGGGATGTCCCCTGACGGGGAATCAAACATGCAACATTTTAGTATGCAGGGCAATGCCCAACCCACTGAGCCACACCAGTCAGGACTCATTAGTTGGTTCTTGTATGTGTCCTCACTGGGGATCAAACATGCAACCTCAGCATATCAAGAGGATGCTCTAACCAACTGAGCTCCCTGGCCAAGGCAAAAATGTGTATAATACTTTTTATATATGGTTTGCTAATATGTTGTTGAAGAATTTTTGTGTCTCTACTCATACAATATATTAATATACTGGTCTGTAGGTTTTTTAAAAAACATCTTTGGTATGAGGTTAATACTGGCCTCAGAGAATAAATAGAGGAGTGTTCCCTCCTATTCTGTTTTTAAGAGTTTGTGAAGGATTGGCATTAATTAAAAAAAAACATTTAGTAGAGTTTATCAGTGAAAATCTCTGGTCTTGGGCTTTTCTTTGTGGAAAGTTTTTTGTTGTTGTTGTTTAATTACTAACTGGATCTCTTTGTTATAGGTCTTGTTAGATTGTCTATTCTTGAGTCAGTTTTAGTATTTATGTCTTTCTACAAATTCGTTCATTTCTTTTAGGTTACTTAATTTACTAGTCTACAGTTGTTTATAGTATTCCCTCATAATCCCTTTTATTTCTGTAAGAGAGACAATAATGTCCCCTTTCATTCTTGATTTTAATAATTTGTTTTCCATCTTTTTTCTTGGTCAGTCTAGCTAAAGGCTCGTCAATTTTGTGATCTTTTCAAGGAGTGAACTTTTGTATTAGTTGATTCTCTCTATTGTCTATTTTCTATTTCATTTATTTCCATTCTATTCTTTATTGTCTTCTTCCCGCTGCTTATCCTTAGGTTTGATTTGCTTTTCTTTTTCTAGTTTCTTATGGTGAAAGGTTAAGCTATTGATTGGAAATATCTTTTCAAAATTTTTATTTTCTTTAAAGATTTTATTTATTTATTTTTATAGAGGGGAATGGAGGGAGAAAGTGAGGGAGAGAAACATCAATGTGTGGTTGCCTCTCTTGCGCCCCACCCCTGCCGCTCCACAACTGGGGACCCTGCAACCCAGGCATGTGCCCTGACTGGGAATCAAACCAGCGACCCTTTGGTTCGCAGGCTGGTACTCAACCCACTGAGCCACACTAGCCAGGGCTCTTTTAAAAAAAAATTAATATAAGTATTTCCATTTTAAAATTTTCCTCTGAACACTGCTTACACTGCATCCCTAAGTTTTAATATGTGTTGTTTTCATTTTCACTAACCTCAAAATATTTTCCCTGAATTCTTCTTTGACACATTGGTTGTTTAGGAGTGTGTTATTTAATGTCCACATACTTGTGAATTTCCAAAATCCCGTTATTGATTTCTAATTTCATTTTTTTAGTTGGAGAACATTTTTTGTGACTTTGGTCTTTTACAATTTATTGGGACTTCATTGTGGCCTAATATATGGTCTGTCCTGGAGAATGTCACAGGGGCAGTTAAGAAGAATGTGTATTTTGCTGTTATTTTGTGGAGTGGTTCTCCTATGACTCTGCCATGCTTTTCCTACATACTCCAGCTAGAGCTGATTTTTTGAACTGAGTCTATAATCCACACAACACTCTGCTTAAAATTAATGCTTGAGATAAAATCCCATCTCTGTAAAATAGTTTATAAGGCCCTTTATGAACTTGCTCCTGTCCATTGTGACCAGAATCAAGCCTCCTTTTTACTTTTTAAATTTTTATTGTAGTAAATTGTAAATAATATAGCATAAAATTTAGTATTTAACCATTTTTGGTGTACAATCTAGTGACACCAAGTAAATTTACAGTATTGTGCAACCCTCTGCTTTTTGATTCTCTTGGCTCTGGCCGTCTGAGCTATTTTTAGTGTTCATACATTCATTGGACAAGAAACTACTAAATGTCTACTAGATACCAAGCACTGTTTGAGGCATTGGAGGTAAATCAGGAAACAAAACAGAAACTTCTAGCCCCATGGAATTTACATATATTGGGTGAGACAACAAAACAAATAATTACAATAGTGAACTGTATAAGAAGAAAAATAGAGTAAGGAAGGGAGATAGGGAATGTGTGCGTACGTGTGTGTGTGTGTGTTGAAATTTTAGAAAGAATAATCAGGAAAGGTCTCACTGAGGAGACATTTGATTAAAGACCAGAAGCTAATAAGGAATAAAGTCATTTGTTTATTGGGGTGGGAGGGAGCATTATGGACAGAGGGGAGAGCAGGTGCAAAAGTTCTGAGCAGAATCAAATCTGACATGTTTAGTGAATATTGAGGAGGTCATTTTGGCTAGTGCAGTGTCAAATCAGGTAGAACCCTTATGAAGCTTTTCATCATTCTCACCTGAAGACATGGTACAGAAAATTTCCTGCTTAAATAAAAATGTTTTTCATCTCAGTACAATAGGAAGCCATTGAAAGGTTTTGAGCAGGGAAGTGACATAGTGTGAGCAACATTTTAAAGAATCGTTTTGGCTGTTTTATTGAACATACACTATAGGGAGGCAACGTATGGGACTGAGAAACAATTAGGAAGCTATTGCAATTATCTAGGTGATAAAGTTGGCCTCACAAGTGTGGTAGCAGTGGAGATAGTGAGAAATGGTCAGATTCTTATGGATTGGTTGTGGGTGCAATGAAAGAAACAAAAAGTCAAGATGACTACAAGGTTTTAGTGTGAGGACCTGGAGGAATGGGATTGTCATTTACTCAGATAGCAAAGACAAAGGGAAGATTTTGGGAGAAGAGGGTATCAGAAATTTTGGGCAGGTCAAGTTTGCTATGTCTAGCTGAAATCCAAGGGGGGTGTGGAATGAAGAGGTGTATAGATAAGGTTCTGGAGTCCAGGGGAATGTGGTTGGAGTTATAATTTGGGAGTTACCAGTGTATGAAATGGCTAAGCTCTTTCATATTCACTATCGTTATGGGGGCGGCCAAAAAGCAATTTAATTAAGATACATTATTGAGCTGAGCTTCTGCTTGGTGTGAGGCATGATGTACTGGTTTTAGGCTTGGGTGGTTGACAGAAGAGGGTGCCATTTATTCATAGAGACAAAGAACACAAGAAGAGATGCAGTTCTTGGATGGGGGCGATTGGATTCCAGTTGGACGTGTTGCATTTGCGGTGTCTGTGGAGGTGTCCGGGATATATGTGGCTTTATGGGGCTGGAGCTCAGGAGGAAGGCCTGGGCTGGAGACTTGGCATGTAGTTGGCAAGGGAAGCCATAGAAGTGGCTGAGATAGCCAAGGGGAGTGTGAGTCTCTCGGATGCCGGGAACAGGGATGACACATCTTCCCACAACCATTTACTACTATGTCCTTAAGCGCCTGCTGACATCACAGAAAACGCCCTTAAGCCACGGCCACCAAAGAATTGTTTTTATTCCCCACAGCTCCTGCTTTCTTCTGAGGACTTCGGACAGAGGGAGGAGCTAAAGCCCCCCCACCCCACCCGCGGAGCACCTTTAAGCGAGTGTCGTCACGAAGAGGCGGGCTGTCAGGTGCCCGCCCCCCTGGCCCAGGAAGCCAGTGGCGAACGGTGGGCCGGGAGCTCTTTCGCCGCTGGCCCCGCCCCCGGGCGCTGCCCACGTAGCGGGTCGCGCCGCCGCCGGCCCTACGCTAGGTGGAGCAGGCCGGCCTCGCCCAGCAAGCACTGGGTCCGGTTGTACACGTCCTCCAGGGCGCCCGCGGCGCGGACCACGGCGCCCCGCGCCGCCGCCTCTCTGGTTCCCGGACAAGCCAGCTGCAGCAGGTGGCCGCGACCCGGGAAGGAGAGGAATGCGAGGCGGACGGCCTGACGGACCAGCCAGGGGTGGTGCGGGGCCAGGGCTAGGTTGTAGGCGTCGCTGCACTGCTCGCCGGCACCCGGGCCTCCGAGCGTGCCGGTCGCCACCCGGTGGAGGCAGAGCTGGGACCAGCGTAGCGCGCGGTGCAGCAAGAGCATCGTTCGTGAGCCGGAGTTGGCCGGGTCTCCAGGGCCGATCCCAGGCCGCTCCAGCAGTCCCGCTCGCCGCTCCCACGCTACCATGGCCGCCAGCGACGTGTAGTGCGCGGCTTCTGGGCCGTGCACCCGAGCCTCGAGGGCTGTTACTTTGGTGAAGGCCTCGCTGGTGGCGAAGGCGAAGATGGAGCCGAGGGGAGTTAGGAGCCTGTGTGTTTGGTGGCGGAAGAGTGGAATGGTTAAATGGCGATGTGGGGGCGGGGACCGGTTTAGGGGAAGGGGGACCACTCACTTGATTAACTCCCTCCATCCCGCCAGGTACTGCGACAACTCCACATCCCCTTCGGGGTTCAGACTAGCGCGGAACGGCCTCACCATGCGGCCCAGTATCCCCTGGGGGCCCAGACACCGAGGCTCTTGATCCCGGGCTTCCAGGGATCCCGACTCTTGCAGCACCTGGGGGAGTAGACATTGGGGGGGGGGAGCAGAACCCCTAGACTGTTGGGCCAACCTCGCCAGGCAGCCAGTCGAGCTCTAAAGAAATTACTCCCAAGGTCTAGCTGGTGTCCCTCCTGCCATACTCTGAGCTGCTATGGGGAAGGAGGTTACTGGAAAGAGGAGCTTTTCACCAAAGTCAGGCTGACTGCGTTTCTCCCGGTTCAGAGACCTACTTGGAGCTCCCGGTCCCAGCCCTGCCCCGAACATACCTGTAAAGGCGGCGGTCCCTCGGCAATGCAGGGCAGTGTCCCTAATCGGCAGCCTGAGAGGGCACCTGGGGAGAGGCAAGGCGGAGCGGTGAGGACTCGAAGAGGGAGCTTAGGTCCCAAGGACCTGGATTCCTGGCTTCCTCCCCAGGGGAGGTGAGGGAAGAGGCCACTCACGTAGGCTCCGACCACAGAGATAAAAAAGTAGCAGCGCGAAGATGGCAAGAGGGATTGTATGGCGGAACCAGCGCCGGGAGACCTGTGGAGGCAGCGCGACCCCCATAGCTGCCTGGGACCACCACCCCGTCACGTGCTCCTACCTAGTCCTTGTCCCTCCGCCTCCAAGAAGGAAGAGAAGCCTGGGTGCACCGAGGGGCAAAGGTTAATAATTAATCTAAGGCCCCCTCCCCTTTGCTCTTTGCCCCAGAGGGCAGCATCCCTAGCAAGAGAAACCAGATTAAGAGGGTTCCATTGGAATTCTAAGCAGCAGAAAGAAGGAGCTCCTACCCTTTGCAACAGCGTGGGTGGAACTGGAAAGCATTATGCTGAGTGAAATAAGCCAGGTGTTGAAAGACAAATACCATATGATCTCACCTTTAGCAGGAAGCTAAACAACAAAACAGATAAACAAGCAAAATATAACCAAAGACACTGAAATAACAGTGACCAGAGGGGAGAAGGGAGGAAATTACAGGGGGAAAAGGGGAAGGATTTACAGGAAGGATAAAGGACACATGGACAACAACTAAGGGAGGTGGAAATGGGAGGGAGGTGGGGAGCACTGGGGGGGGTGGGCTGGGATGGGAGTAAAAGAGAAAACTACTTGAACAATAATTTTTTTAAAATTTTAAGAGAGGGTTTGGGGAATTTGGTGTCAATGACACCTCTCTATTTTCCTTCCTATAGGGCCAGGTTGTAGTAAGAGGCTGCCTGGGTATTGGGAAGGGAGTCTGGGTGAAAACCAGCTCTCCCACTAAGTAATGGTGTGGGTCCTAAATTAACTCGACTTGAGTTCCTACCACTGTAAGTGGAGGAAAATAATAGGTACTTTGCGAGGATTAAATGACAATGTATGTGCAAACACTAAATGGAAAAGCTTACCGCAATTGCTCATAAATCTTACCAATTAAGTTCAAGCATGGGGCACCTGGGATCCAGGGAACACTCACTGCTAAATTCTTATCCCGGGGACCTTGTCTTGATCTGGATGCATGAAATCTTGATTATATACTTTGGGCTTTATGGCCTTCCGTTTTTTGTGTTTTAATTTTTTAAACTCCAGGTCGGTCCTCAATTATTTATCAAACCAACTTTTATTAACTACTTCCACATGCCAGGCTCCCATTAGGCCCCAAGAAGACAAAAAAGTGCCTTCCTGGAGCTCAGGGTCCATTGGAGAATTTACAGTTTGGATCATGAATTCTGATGACAGGACCCTTGTTTTTCTTGGTTGCAGCTCTGTTCACAGCACTTAGAATATTGCTTAGACATAAACACAATATTGTTAAGTAACTATATGTTGAATAAACAAAGGAATGTATGAGGGACAGGCAAATCAGGGATGGTGTTCCCCATGATAAATTTGGGCCAACTTTTTTGTTTGGTTTTGGTTTTCACAGAAGTCCACCGGGTGGCCATGGGGGAAAAACATTCAGGGAAATGATACAAGATGCAGCAAAAAACAACAACAAAACAAAAAAACACCATCTCCTGTACTAAACTTAGAATTGTTCCTAGCTCTGTGCGTATTTTCTTCTGGGAGGAGGAAGAGTATCCCAGATTCTCAAGGAGTCAGGACCTCAATTGCTAAGAAGGCCCTGACTCCCACAGTTCATGGATTCTTGCCCTATCTCACTCTGATGCTCCCTCACACCTTGGAGGTCCCTGAGTTTGTCTCAGACCAATCCTGTCCATTGGAATTCTGGAGCCTCCATGTCCATCCCTAGCCTTGGGCTCCCCATTTCCCAGTGTTGAAATGTTTCCCAGCTTGCTGACTGTGACCTTAGATAAATTGCTTGCCATTTCCAAGCCCCAGTTCCCAAATCTGCAAAACAGGAAGGGTAATTCCCACCTCCTAAAATTGTGAGGATTAAATAGAACAGGATTGCACAAGGCTAATCACAATTTGGGGCCCACAAGTAAATAAATGTTCAGTAGGTGGTGGTTATTCCAACCTGTCGGCCCCTGGTGCCCCTCCTTTGGGGCGGGGAGCCTACATCTCCCTGAGCAGTCAGGTTTTCTGGGTTCTGGGAGCAGCTTCATTTTGGGTGTCGCTTAGTCCTAGTGGTTCTTCTGCAATCGGAACCCTTGTAGGGGTAGAGGTACTATAAATCCACGTAAAGGGCCACAGCTGATAGAGCCAGGTGCAGGAGCCAAGCTGCTGCTGCTGTAGGCAACATGCTACAGACATGACCAAGCAGATGATTCCAGCAGCTACACTAAAGTCATCTAGGTGACAAACAGGGTCCCCAGGGGCGACTGGGCCTAGCACGAGATGTGTCCTGATGGATTCCTCACCAGTGGGTTCTTGATCAAGATGAGGGCTCAGACCTAGGTCTCAAGAAAGCAGAGATGCACAAGATCCCAGAAAAGAGAGCGGTAGTTTTCTTATTTTTTTGAAATTTATTTATTTATTTTTAGACAAAGGGGAAGGGAGGGAGAAAGATGGAGAGAAACATCAATGTGTGGTTGCTTCTTATGTGCCCCGTCCCCCCCCCACCCCAGCCTGGGGTCCTGGCCTGCAACCCAGGTCATGTGCCCTGACTGGGAATTGACTGGCGACCCTTTGGTTTGCAGGACAGTGCTCAACTCACTGGGCCACACCAGCTAGGGCCCATTCTTAAATGAGTTATTAATATTTTAAATGTTTATTAAAGGCATACAGTTCCAGAAGCTACAGGCTTTGGCCTCACAAGTTTATTTTATTTTTATTTACTAATGTTAAAAGGAGAGAGAAAGGGAACAAGGGAGAGGAAGGAAGAGGGAGAGAGAGAGACAGATGGAGGGAGGGAGGAGGGAGGGAAAGGAAGACTAAGAGAGGGAAACATCGATTTGTCGTTCCACTTACTATACATTTTTTGGTTGCTTCTTGAATGTGCCCTGATGGGGGGATCAGCCTGCAACCTGGGCATATTGGGAGGACTAACCAACTCAGCTAAACTGCCAGGGCTCACCAAGTTTACTTTTAAAACATCAACTAATTTCATTCAGTCATAAATGAAAAAGACTGTATTCAACGCTTATTTGTAAAAAAAAACAAAAAAAACAACTTAGTTTGGTAGTCTTCTGACTCATCTTTACCCCTCTTTTCTCTCCCCAGGTGGATCCCCCCCCCCCCCCGCCGCGCCCCTCCTGGCAACTGATCCCACAGCAGTGAATGGGATCAGGCTGCACTGCACCCATGGGAAAGCAGAGAGACACTTAGTAGTGGAGTCCCAGTCTGGGGGCGGGGGGCAATGATTCCCCTGGGACAGGGATCCACTTATCTTTGCCCTTATCCTCTGTTACAAACACCCCCCTCCCAGCTGGCAGTTTCTTCCAGAGCTGTGGGGCCCTTTAGACCTGGGAGTAGATGGTAGACCTCCCATCCGCACTTCGGCGGACGTCGGGTTATTACACCCAACCCAGGGGGGTTGTGTAGCACGTGGCTGGGAAGTCCCACGGACTGGGTCGGGAGGGAGAAGGGTGAGGGGCGCCCGCAGAGCCAGCAAGTCTCCCTTTCCCTCAAGGGTGGGGCACATGGAGAAAACCGCTGTGGTGTCCAAAGGTCACTTCTTTGTGGCTTTCTCCTTTCTCGTGAAGACACCCATGACCCCTGCAAACAACGCACGCTTCCGCTGCTCAGATGGCGCACAGCTGTAAGGGCCTGGTTTGGCCTGGGAGACTTTGGAAACTGGAGTGAGCCATGACCCAAAGGCATGTGCGGCTTTCAGATCAAGATCGGGCTGCATAGAGGCCACCTCGATGACACCATGGTTAACGACCTGCATTTTTTCTGCTGTCGCCGTCGACACCTTCGCTGCCTTCTACCCGGCCCCACTTCTCTCTCTGTCCTGGCTTTGGTCTCACTCGTTTTAGGGGTAGGAAACTGTGCCTCCTAGTCTTCCTCCTAACCTAGCTTTGGGCCAGGCTGAAATTCAGGTTACTGAAGTTACGGAAACACAATCCAGAAAAACGCTCTTAAACACAATTTTGCATACAAGTCCAGGACGTCCCTGGGTTTCTGAGGGCGTTTGCAGTCACCACATCCCCATTAAGTGCCTAGGTTGTTTCTCTTCAGAGCCACCGGTGACCTCGGGCAGATTAAAGAACTTCTAAAAAATTAAGAGGTGACGCGATACAACATCTTCAGGCTTCATTTTCCTAGAGCTTAACTGGTTAATATGTCTTTTCCATAGTTCCCTCCTCCGCCCCCAGTACAAAACTCAAACACTGGCTTTTCTATTTACTGATTCCCATTTATGGTCTCTGTCCTTGGTGTACTCTCTGCCTGGAGTCTCTCAGCGACCCATATGGTTAGTCCGTCACTAGATGTCAGCTCCAATTTCACTTTCTCGTATTTATCTTACTTAAAAAAGACCCTCCACCAGTCAATATCTACCCCATTATCAAGGTGTTTTTAAAAACTGTTTATCATCAATTGCCTCTTAAAGTTGCCCATCTTGCACCCTGGAATGTTAAAGTATTTGAAAACACAGAAGCTGCCTGTCTTACTAACTTATTTCCAGGGCACGCTAATAGCTCAATAACTATTTGCTAAGAAAATAAGTGGGGTGCAGGGGTCCCACACAAGGGATCCCCAAGCCCCAGCGTGTCTGGAGGCCTTCGGACGCTCCTAGTATAGGGCACAATCTGAGACGCTCAAAAGAGCTCAAAACAGTTTATTCCAGGGCAGGGGCGTCCAGGCGGGCGTCCATCAGTGAGCAGCGGGGTCAGCGAAGCCTCAGTGAGGGGCACCCTGCGGAAAAGAGAATGTGAGAATGCAGCCAGGGAGCAAGTAGGTTCCCCCTAAAGCTCCTCCGCACTCCGTCCCACCTCCTTCTTCCTGCAGTCGCCGCAGAAGACACCAACAGTCGCGTTCACCGCCTGCAGCCCACACAGCAGGAGCTCCAGGCACGAGGCGGCCACCAGCAGCGAGAAGAGCGTCACATTCCAGGTGACCACATTCGGCGGTTCTTTGCACAAACTCCACTGGGTATAGTTTAGCAAGTAAGAGCCTCTGTGGACCACACAAGGTCACGTGAGAGACGGTCGCCGCGGAAAGCCCCCTCCCCGTTCCCTGTCCGCGCACGCGCGCTGAGGGGGTTGGGAACGACTCCCGCGGCCTCGCGGCGGCGGAGGACGTGGAAGGCGAGTCCGGCCCGGTTTCCGGGTCCACTTCCGGAGAGGCTCAGGGCGGGACGCGGAGGGCGCGGAAGCCGGCCTTACGAGGTGTCCCGGAAGGGGTAGTTCCATTCGGCGCCGTCCGTGGAGCATCTGGGCCCAATTCGGAGCGCGGTTCCCGATACTGAGAGACAGTAGATGGCACCAAGCACCCCGAGTGCCGAGCAGAAGACCGAACGCAGCATCTGGACGCAGAGTGGAAGGAGAGGCGAGGGGAAGCGCCATTTCCCTAACCCCCCCACCCCCCAGTCGCGCTGAGACACACACCCAGTCAAAGTCAAACCCCAATGCTTGGAGTTAGGACAACCCTGAGAGCCAGAGGCTGCCGAGGTTCATGGGCCTTGTAGTCCCCTCTGGTCAGGCCCATCGAGGCCTGAGATTGGCGCAGGACATGGGATGCGGGGAAGGAGGGGCAGAGGTGGATCCTAGGATTCTGCAGAGGAGCTAGTTTAGCTGGGAATAGGGAGCCGTGGCTTTAGGTTGGCTCTTCGTCGACCTCGTCAAAGATCATTCCCGAATGCCGTCTTAATTTGGATCTTACCCTGCAGCGATTTCCACAGCAGCCTGCACCGCAGCAGCCCTTGCCCCCCGCCCGAACGGCTGCAATTCCTGGACACAGTATCTGTGGAACAAGAGTCAGTGTGACGGGCAGTTCCTCCAGATCCTCAAGACCTTATTTGCCTCAGTGCTTACCTCCTCCTGGAACCTGCGTGTGAGGTCCTCAGCCCTTTCGACTGTAGGAAGACCTTATCTGTACCTCTCCTGGAGCTTTTCCTCAATTAATCAAAATTTATGTGCCTACTTATCTTTGACAGGATTGTAGCCTGCCTCCAGAAGGGTAGGGCCTAATATCATTGCATTCCCAATAAATCTTGGTACTTGTTAGATATCAGGCTAACATGTATGGGAGCTAGGAGGCCTGGGTTTAATGTCAACCCCTGTGCACTGCACACTCCATGAGCTGATTCATCTCTCAGGGTCTGTTTTGTCCTCTGTAAAATGGTTCTTCATGGCCCATCTCCCAGGGCTGATCCCATGATTTAATGAAATAACAGGTCGACTTGATGTCAAGACTAACTCAGAGTTAATGCTCAATAGCTATTCCCTCAGCAACTGGAAGGGATAGTGGTGTTGGAATGTTTGGGATCATGGTGAAGGGTAGGAGCATGTTGGCGGAGGCTCTGATGGGAAGTGTGAGGATCCCCAAGACACAGTCCTGGTCCTTTCTGTCTTTCTTCCTCCCTGTGGCATTCCTCACAGAGCCATCCTCTCCAGGGCATCAGCTTCTCCCTCTGCCAATAGCCACCTCCTAAGTCATGCCTCCAGATTCAAATCTAACTGTCCAAAGGATATCACTTGAATGTCTTGGTTTTAGCTCACATTCAGCCAGCCTCATACTGTCCTCACAATTTATTTCCCCAAATCATCTCCCTTTGACTTTCTGGTCTCCATCAGTGGAGGTATCCTCCTGGATATTCACCCAGCCTGGAAAACTTGAATCCTTTATGCTCAGCCAGACCTCAATCCTCTCAACTTTTTCTTCAATGGCTCTTGAATTTGTTCTTTCTTTTTCTTTTCTTTCCCAGTCAATCCCTAGTCACCTCCCACGATGATGATATTTTCAGACTCCCTACTAGAGTCCTGTAGTATCTCTTGCCCCAGGTCACTCTACATTCCATCCTACATGTCACCACCCGGATTAAATTTAACTTTCAAATAGTCTTTTGTATGCTCACATCCTTTAGAGTCTCCTCAAAGAGTAGCCCATCAAAACTCAACTCTGGCAAGGCATTTGAGGCTCCTCACCTTGGCTCCAGCCTTATCTTTGGTGCACCGTGCCAGATTCTTTGCCTACCTCCCATCTCTGGAATTCCACAGCTGTCTTGATCTTTGCCTCCCTGTGCACCTTGTCTGACTCACAACACACAAAGCAGCATTTTATTTTTCTCCAGGGGAGGGGCTGAAAGTTTTAGTTCGGTTATATCACCCACCTCAGTCTCACAGAAACACCTGCAGAGTTGAATGGACTTTTCACCAGATACTCTCCCCTCCTCCATGTTTCATGGCAGGTCTGGGGCGAGTTCTCACCCCTCTGGCTTTGCCTCTCTGGTTAGCGCACTTACTGGGAAGCTCCTGGATCCAAAGACACCTAGACTGCCTTTTGAATTTCCCAATTTTGGATGAACTACCTATTTCAGGTGGGTTTTTTTTTTTTTTTTGGCCAAAGTGCTTTTTTTGTTGTTGTTATCTGAGCTTCTCTGTTTCCCTCTCTACATACCCATTTAATGAAAAGAGATGGGTAATTGTAAATGCAGGAGGAAATGCTAAGTTTATAGCTCAAGTCTGCTTACTCTTCTCCATCTCTATGGCCACTGGCCTAGTTCAAGCCATTATCATTTCTCCTGGACAACTGCAGTGACTTCCATCTGGTCTTTCTGAATGCACTCTTGACCACCTACTGTCCATTCCCCACATAGCTACCAGAGGGATCTTCTTAAATCCAATGGGGTATTGAGCAATTGGAACTCTCATACTTTGCTAATGGAAATGAATTTAGTGTGAGAGCTTCAGTAAACTCTGGTAATATCTAGTAGCACTGAATATTTGCACACCTTAAGAACCAGCAGTTTTACTCCTAGGTATACATGCAACATTTATTCACCTAAGCACAATTATAGGAATATTTATAGCAGCATTATTTGTAATAAAACCAAGTTGGGAACTATCCAAATGTCAATCAACAGTAGAGTATTTAAATTGTGGTATATTCATACGATGGACCACATGTAATAATACAGATGAACCTCACAAACATAATGCTGAGCTCAAGAAGCCAGACACAAACATGCCTGTACTGTATGATTCCATTTATATAAAGTACTAAACAGGCAATCCTAATCTATGGAGTAGAAACTAGGAGAGTTGGGACTCTTGTCAGTGGCAGGTGGTGTCTGGTGGGAGGCACATCTGGGATTCTGGTAATGACCTGTATCTTGATCTGAGTACTGAATATGTGGGTATGTTCCCTTTGTAAAAATTCACCAAGCTGTACACTAAGGATCTGGGCATTTGTCTGTATGACTTAAATAAAAGTTCATAAGCAAGTTTAAAAAGTTCACTAAAAAAGTAGCAAGTCCTTCAATAGTTTTCTGTTGTACTTATTAAAAAATTCACATTTCTCCTGTGGCTTTCAAAAGTGTACCTGCTCTGGCTTCTACCTACCCAAGATCTCATCTCATTAAACCTTAGCTGCACTAACCTCCTATGTGATCCTCTGATATGCAAGCCTGTTCCTGCCTTAGGCTTTGTATTGGTCAGTCACCTTGTCTGCAATGCTGATTCTTTTTTGGGGGGAGGGGTCTCAGTTCAGACATTGCTTCATTGAAGCCTTTCTTGAGAACACTGTAAGAAGTGGCCCCTAACCTTGCCCTAGAAGCTCTTAATCCCAGCACCCTACTTTTTAAATTATTTTTAATTTTTCTTATTTATTGCATTTAGAGAGAGAGAAAGAAAGAGAAAGAGAAACATTGATTTGTTGTCCCACTTATTTATACATTCATTGGTTGATTTTTGTACGTGCCCTGACTAGGGATCCAACCCACAACGTTGGCATATTGGGAGGATGCTCTAACCAACTGAGCTCCCCAGCCAGGTCACTGGTTTTTTTTTATTGATGATACCTACTTCTACCTGGACTCATCTTGATCATTTATTTACTTTGTTCAAGTGTTTCTTAAGTGTAAGGCACTGGTCTAGTCATGGGCACACAACAGCCAGGGTAATGTAATGTACCTAAGGTAATGAGGTGGACATTCTTGCTTCTTTGATATTTTGTGTCTCCCCAGCAGGAACACCAGCATCAGGGAGAGCAAGAACCTCGTCTGTGTCCCTGGGGCATACCTCAAACCATGTGAATAGGTTTGAAAAAAGCCTTAAGAGTGACGCAGGGCATGGAGATGGGAGGGAGGCAGCTGGGAATGAGCACGCTGAGAGGACATCCTCAGGGATCTCCCCTGAAGCAGGCTGCTAACCAGTAGCCTACACTGTACTCTCCCTACAATCTAACATTGTAGGGAGGTGGGGGTGGTTTATGCTGGAGAAAGGCATGATGTGACTGTGTAGGCCTGGGACGAGTGTGACATATCGGGCAGAGTTATGGTCAGAAGGACAGAGTCCAACAGCTATGAATCCAGGTGGGAGGGGAGTAGGAGAAAAGATTCCAGAGGATAAGGGGAGATTGTTGGATAAAGGAGAGAAGGTAGGACCTATGAAAGAGATGAAGAGGAGACCTCTCTCAGAGAATTTTATCAATCGGCTCTCCTGAAAAGTGTGGAACTGTGCTGGGTAGATCTTTTGTCTTTATCCTATGAAGATGTTAAACTAACTAGACCTTCCATAAGTTTTTCTAAATGGAGAGGCAGTTGGAGGATGGGAGTTAGGAAGTCTGGGTAATTGGTGTCTCCAGGTCTCCCACTTTTCCTGATAGATTGTAGTCTCCAGGAAGACGTGGGAGTACCTCTTCTACTATTCTGACCTAGGTTTGAGTTTATTCTTAGCTCTGAGCACTGAGGGGAGCATCCAAAAATGTGAAGAGACAGGGAAGCTGGGGAGGGTGACATCAAACTGGGAAGTAGATTGAGTAATCCGTGACTACTCCCTGGCTCCAGACATTGGCAAACACCCCACCCTCCAAGATGATTCTTATCTTGCCCTGATAACCTCTCACACAATCAGCTGTTCCTTTTTTCTCAACTCTTGTAGGGAGGTGTTCCCAGCATCTGCTCAGCCGTGGGGATGGAGAGGGGCAGGTAGGACATTCTCCCTTCCCATGAGGGAAGCTTCTTAGAGCAGTGAGACTCCCTTCCTTGTTGTTCCACTTAAACATTCAGCTCAGGACTCTTGGGCCCCTCCAGCATGTCCACACAGTGATCAGTGATCGGGAACAGATTCAGGGGACCACAGATCTCCACTGCACCACACCACCCCTTCCCAGGCAGCTGTTCTTTTCCCTCTCTCCCTCTCCCTCCTGTTCAGAACCACCTAGAGTGGTGCCCAGTCCCCCAGCCTGTGCTCCCTGCTACCCTTCTCACCATCAGTCCCCCGCCGATGAAGCCAGCCATGAGCCAGACTTGCAAGCTGAGGTTGTCAAAGTTGGTCCAAGTGGTCTCCCCATTAGGCACCAGCAGGAGGGTGTTGGCCAAGATGCAGATCAGGGAGAGGGAGATGAGGGAGAGCCCCACAAAGCGGGCACACTTCCCTGTGCACATGGTGACAGGCAGTGAGTGAAAGTGAGCCCCAGGCTAGGTAGACAGGAAAACAAGCCAGGAGCAAGGAGCAAAGGTCAGGAAAGAGGTGTGGCAGAAACCAGACCAGCAAGATCAATGATGAGGGAGAAAAGCAGGAGACACAGGCAAAGAGGAGGTGGAGTGGCTGCTTGTCGTGAGGTGAAGAGGAGGATGTGGTGGAGAAGGTCAGGGAGCTTGACACAGAGGAAGTTGCCATGGGTCAGTGTGTTCTTCCTCTTTTTTCTGCACACACCTCTCCTCAGCCTATCTGGTTGTTGCTTACCTGTTTTGTGACTTAAGCCTCTTAATTTCTTTTTTTTTAATTTTATTTTATTGATTATAGTATTACAGTTGTCCCAATTTTTCCGCCTTTACCCGCCTCTACCCAGCAGCCCCATTCACTCAGGCAGTCCCCACACTTTTGTTCATGTCCATGGGTCATGCAGATAAGTTCTTTGTGTACTCCATATCCTGCACTGTACTTTACATCTCCATGGTTATTCTGTAACTACTTATTTGTGCTTCTTAATCTCCTCACCTCTTCACCCATCCCCTCCACACCTGCCTCCCATCTGGCAACCATCAAAACACTCTCCAAAGAAAAGAAAAAAAAAACCACCCTCCATATTCATGATTCTGCCTCTGTTGTTCTTGTTTGCTTAGTTTGTTTTTTAGATGCAATCGTTGATAGATATGTATTTATTGCCACTTTATTGTTCATAGTTTTGATCATCTTCTTTTTCTTAAATAAGTCTCTTTAACATTTTATATAATAATGGTTTGGTGATAATGAACTCCTTTAGTCTTTTCCTTGTCTGGAAAGCTCTTTATCTGCCCTTTTGTTCTAAATGATAGCTTTGCTGGGTAGAGCAATCTTGGCTGTAGGTCCCTTCTTCTCATGACTTTGAATATCTCTTGCCAATCCCCTCTAGCCTGCAAAGTTTCTTCTGAGAAGTCAGCTGACAGTCTTATGGGAACTCCTCTGTAGGTAAATAACTCCTTTTCTCTTGTTTTCAAGGTTCTCTCTTTATCTTTAACCTTTAGCCTTTTAATTATGATGTGTCTTTTGTGGAAGTTTTCTTTCATTATTTTTTCAAATAGATTTCCAATTCTTTGCTCTTTCTCTTCTTCTGGCACCCTTATGATGCAAATGTTGGAATGCTTGAAGTTGTCCCAGAGGCTGCTTACACTATCCTTGGTTTTTTATTTTTTGTATTTCTTGTTGTTCTGGTGGGTTGTTTTTTGCTTCCTTATGTTCCATACAGTTGATTTGATTCTCAGCTTCATCCACTCTACTGTTGTTTCCCTGTAAATGTTTTTTTTTTAAATTTCAAATAGTGTATCCTTCATTTCTGACTGGATCTTTTTTATGCTGTTGAGGTCCTCACTAAGTTCTCTAAGTCTCAGTTGTCATGTCTTTATAAAGGGTATAGTGGGGCACTTGGCTCATGGACTTGTTGTGAGGATTAAATAAGACAATGTGAGAAGTATTGTACTTTGTACTAGGATGTACTAAGTAAATGTACAGTGGCATTATAATTTCTATTAGTGCCACAGGAGGGAGGTTTCCTGGAAAGAAACTAAGAAGGTGGTAGTGGACATTCATTGTTCTTTCATTTCTTCTCCATATTTGTTTATTAAACCCTCCTCCTGTTGAAGCCACCACCTGTCTCTCAGGGTGGGCTCTCTAGTGAAGCTGATTAATAGAGCATTCCATCCTTTGGCCATAGTGTTTGACTCAGCGATGGTCACATGATCCCAGCCCCTCCCCCAAGAGTCACTTTCTGGTTTTTGTGGTTGGCAATCTGGGGTCAAAGAAGTTCTGTTTTTGTTGTGACCCTGAAGTTGCTGGTAGCATATTGCCTGTTGGGAGAGTGAAGTCAATCCAGAAGAAAGAATAATCAAAGGATGGAAAGACACTAAGTCTTGATGACGTGAACTGCATGTGCAGATTCAGCTATGCCTGAAGTCTCTTGGAAAGTTTTGATTATGAGAACTAGTTTGAATTGTATTTCTGTCAGCTAAAACATAGAGTCTATTTTGATACAGATTAATTCATTAAGCCCTTGCAGTGGACAAGGCTTTGCTCTGAAGACTGCGGGGATTCCAAGTTGTACAGATGAGGCTCAGATAGGGGCCATGGGAGCACAAAGGAGAGTGAAGGCCCACATGGGATGTGGTAGTACCACAAAAGAGATGAGGGCGGCAGGAAGTGCTGCAGGACTTCAGAAGGCATGTGATGACAGTGTCACATAGAAAGTGGTATCCAGCCAGTGGCTGCTGCTGTAGCCTGTCCAAGCAGTCCACTCAATGAGAGAGACATGGAAAATGGGGAAAGCTTACCCCTCAAAATGAATACTGGAACCTTAGAGGAATTTTTACTATTTGTGAGAGAGAAGCTGTTCCTCTCTCTTATTTGTGAAACAGAGGATACCTGAATACACATTGAACCTCCCCCAACTATCTGCCTCTGATTGGCAGACAGTTATTGTAATGACTGATATTTTATTTGCTTCTGTTGGATTGTTTAATGCATTTTTGAAAAATTTGCATTTTGGGGGGTCCACTAAAAATTTATCTTTTTATATCTGGGGGAGGAAGTAGAAAAGAAAGCAGCTTCTATACAGGGCCCTACTCAGTGGCAGCTTCTTGTTCCTAAAGGTTAAGGAAGACTCTGAGGAAATACATTTTTTGGGGGGAAAAATCTAGGTGTAGTTGCTTTATACGTTTGATGGGTAGAAGGGATGAAGTGAAGTGTGAAGGCCCCTCACACCCTCCATTTTGCCTCAGGCTATGTCCTGGAACCCTGGGGTGGAGAAATTGCCACTTTTATTCCTGCTTCTTGGGACTGTTGACAACTACAACCATGTAGTGTTAGATAAAGAAGACAAGCAGGAAGAGCTACACTTACAGCATATTAGCAAAGATGATGAGCTGCACGTCTGTAATTATCCTGAGCAGCTGGGCTCTGCTCCAGGTAGGAGCTCCATGTGTTTTTTTGAAATCCTCACCCAAGGATATTTCTTCATCGCTTTTAGAGAAATAGTAAAGGTTGGGGCAGGGAGAGATGTGAGAGAGAAACCTCCCTGACCGAGAATTGAATCTTCAGCCTTTCCATGTGCAGGACGATGTTCTAACAACATTGGCCAGGGCTCCATGTTGTTTCTATATCTCATTTCATTAATTTTCTGTCTCATGAGTTTTTGTTTTGTTTTTTTACATGCTCTTGTGTTTTAGAAGACATATTTTAAAGATTTTATTTATGTATTTTAGAGAAGTGGGAAGGGAGGGACAAAAGAGAGACAAAGAGAAACATCAATTTATGAGATACATCAACCAGTTGCCTTTTGCATGCCCCAGCTGGGGACCTGGCCCACAACCCAGACATGTGCCCTGATTGGGAATCAAACTTGAGATCTTTGATTCATAGGTTGGTACTCAAACCACTAAGCCACACCAGTTAGGGCAGAGGCATATTTTAAATCCAGGTAGTGAATACTTGTAAGTGTTGCAAAAGCATCCTTTAACTTCTTACCTTCCCTCTCTCTGAGAAGCCTTAGACTGTCGTCATTCCTGTAACTTCCTTTGTGGAGGTCTGTAATGATGGTTTGCCATTCTTATTAGCTTTATAGCTTTTGACTATATGACCGTGTGATCTTGTGGTAAAAATTGAACTATTTGCTTCGGTTCTTCAATCCTTCATGCCCTTTGCTATGACACTTTGTTGTCCCTCCCACTAGAGGTAGCCTGTACCTCCAACCATATGGGCATAATGGAATGTGGGCAGAAGCAACAATATCCCAGTTCTGAGATCAGGCCTTAAGGGGCATTGTGTATTGCTACTTGACATCTTGTGCCCTATTACTGCCATGGAAGGAACATGCCCAAGTTAGCCCACTGGTAAAAGGAAAGTGAAAGATACAAGGGAAAGGCTCAGATCAGATCCCAACCTGTCAGGGACCTCTAACCAACCCATATATGTATGAGTAAAATAAGTGCTCAGAACTCTTGAGAAATATTTATGTGTCACTAAGGCTTTGTGGGTTTTTTTTTGTTGTTCCACAGCAATAGCTGGCCGACACAGAATTCATTATCTAGTTCATAGCTGATCAGTCTAGGAATGAGTAGCTGACCCATAGCCTGAGACCTATGAGGCAGCTTGAGAAGAGCTCTACCCAGGAGAGATACCTCACTTAATGATGACTGATAAACAACTTGGATGTTTGTTCTTGGGAGATTTGACTGTGGGACAACCTGAGTCATCAGAGGAAAAGGTGGCCCCAAATCCAGGAAAATATGAAAGCATGGAGTGAGCAAAAGCCACAATGTTTCTCTCCCTTTCTTTTTCCCTCCCTTCCCCTCTGTCTAAAAGTAAATAAATAAAACTCTATAAGGTTGTGAATTCTATTTTTTTAATATAATTTATTGATTATATTATTACAGTTGTCCCATTTCCCCCCTTCATTCCCCTCCACCCTGCACACTCTCTCTCTCCCACATTCCCCCCCTTTAGTTCATGTCCATGTGTCTTAAGTTCTTTAGCTTTCACATTTCCCATATTATCCTTGCCCTCCCCCTGTCTATTTTCTGCCTGCCATCTATGCTACTTATTCTCTGTACCTTCCCACCCCCACTCCCCTGTTGCTAACCCTGCATGTGAACTCCATTTCTGTGGTTCTGTTCTTGTTCTAGTTGTTTCCTTAGTTTGTTTTTATTTTAGGTGTGGTTGTTAGTAATTGTGTTTGCTGTCATTTTAGTGTACACACTTTTTATCTTCTTTTTCTTAGATAATTCCCTTTAACATTTCATAAAATAAGGGCTTGGTGGTGATGAACTCCTTCAACTTGACCTTCTCTGAGAAGCACTTTATCTGTCCTTCCATTCTAAATGAAAGCTTTGCTGGATAGAGCAATCTTGGGTGTAGGTCCTTGTCTTTCATGACTTGGAATAGTTCTTTCCAGCCCCTTCTTGCCTGTAAGGTTTCTTTTGAGAAATCAGCTGACAGTCTGATGGGAACTCCTTTGTAGGTTACTGTCTTCTTATCTCTTGCTGCTTCTAGGATTTTTTCCTTTATTTTAATCTTGGCTAATGTAATTATGATGTGCCTTGGTGTGTTCCTTCTTGGGTCCAAGTTCTTTGGGACTCTCTGCGCTTCCTGG